CTCTTTTATTTCAACAATGCTATGTAGTTTTCAGTGCACAAGTCTTGCATTTCTTTTGTTACTCTTTTCCTAAGTATTTTATTTTTTATGCAATTGTAAATGGAATTGTTTTGTTAATTACTTTTTTTTAATTGTTCACTGCTAGTGTATAGAAAGACAACCGATTTTTGTATACTGATCTTTTATCTTGCACTGTTGGTGAACTTTTTTATTAGCTGTGATAGTCTTTTAGTAGTTCCTTAAGATTTTCTATACACAAGATGATATCATCAGCTGGAGGACTGGAGAGGGAAAGGATGTCACCTTTATCCTGATTCTCGTTTATGAACATGTTTGTCCTTAATGGAAGACAAATACTTTTCTGACTCAAGTTAGCTGTATTAAGAAGGTTGTGTCATTCTGTTCTGGAAAGAAAATGTTTTATGCAACCAGACATTTAACGCAGAGTTGAATTATAGAATGTTTTTTGGTAAAGATAAAGCAGAGGGCGCCTGGGTGGCTCAGTTGGTTAAGCAACTGCCTTCGGCTCAGGTTATGATCCTGTAGTCCCTGGATCGAGTCCCGCATCGGGCTCCCTGCTCAGCAGGGAGTCTGCTTCGCCCTCTGACCCTCCCCCCTCTCATGTGCTCTCTCTCTCTCATTCTCTGTCTCTCAAATAAATAAATAAAATCTTTAAAAAAAAAGATAAAGCAGAATAAATCAAGGTGCCTTCTTTCTCTCTTCACCCTCCCTTTCTTTCAAGTGAAAGATGTCAACAAAATGCTAGGGTAGAGTGAAAGGACTATTCTTTGGAGATCTTAATGTTAAAATTTTGAAAAGATTTTAATTTCAAAAGTTCAGATACAACCATAAATAGGTGTAGGATTACCTCCCTACAAGATCACCTTGGGCTAGCTTAGTCCTTCAACAAGGTCACCACTCCTCTCAAGGCAGTCAATTGTACATGATTCAGTCCTTCTGGGTTGTGGGAATCACTTCCTATGCCTGTCCCCTTGGGGCCTAGGAAGGTAAGAGTTTAGCTTATACTAGCCTGGGTTATTGTGCTATTCTCTGTGGTTCCCTGCATCTACACATTTATAAGTAATCTCTTTGGAAATACCCACCTTCCAATTATTCCATTTTGTCAAGTGTGCTATTTATTGTTGGAACCCTGACTGATGTTATGGCCATACAGGAGCCTGCACAAAACTACATCCTGGAGACTAAGCTGCCAGACTGGGAGCCTATCATATCCTCCTTAAGCCTTTTAGATCTTTCTATAAGCGTTTCTCCCCTTCTAGCCTGCGACTAAATAACTTTGTGAAGTAAGCAGGGCTATTCAGGCTTTCAACTCCTTTTTCCTCGCCCTTTGCCTCCAGCCATCCTGTCCTTCCTCCTCACCACCACACACATCCAAACCTCTGTTTTCTGCCTAGATAAAATCACAGTGTAAATCACACTTCTGCATGACTTGGCTAAATTACTTTATCATGTTTGAGTCTTTTAAGAGGAAATCAGTAAGGAAAATGACTCTAACGAAGAACCTAGATAGGGGAAATGTACTGGGATCACAGACTTCACCCCAATCAAACCATATAAGCCTAATAGACCTTAGGCCAGGGCAGCTTCCAAGGAAAGAAGGGATTCCTACAGCAGCTTAACCTCTGAGTCAAACAAGGAAGTGGAAATATTTCTGTCTTTAATTGCAATTACCATTAGAGATTTGTTCTGGGAGATCATTTGTGGCCAGATGTGCCCTAAAGTCACTTAGCCAGGCTTTCATCAAGCAATTGCAGCTTCTCTTTGGATTTTGGTTCCTTCTCCCCACCTCAAAGTTTCTCTTGGTGTTCCTTTCCTACACAAACAAATGGAACAATTTATACCAGTACTCGATGAAGAAAGGAAGTTTGCTCTGACAAAGTAGTCTTCCGAGAAACCAGAGCATAGAGACTAAAAAGGAAAAATGCTCAGAAATGAAACAACTTTTAGTTTCATCCTCCTGTGGTTAAACCCCAAGAGTCAAAAAAAAAAAAAAAAGGTGGGGGGAAGAAGAAGAAAAAAGTTTTAAGCTAATAGGCTGTCAGTTGTCAAGTTTTCCACCCACATGGCTGCCCAGTATTCCTGTGGGAAAATCAGTGGTACCGTCTAGAAGGAGGAAACCATACACTCCTTTTTTATTTCAATTTATTGTTGTCAACAAATCAATACAATAATAATGTTTTCTACATGAAGAGTCCCAGCAGATAGATGCCTAAGAAAAGTTACTTTAGGATAGTGATTCAGAGGGGTGAGAAATCATAAATCTAGCATGGACAAGACCACGAAGGCATTTGGAAGTAGTAATTCTCATTGACAATCAAGTAAAACCAAGTGCATTGCAACAGATGGTATACAAATCAAATCCCGGTATGAAACAGTATGGGGGAAGATTTAGATTAATCCACTGGAAGTTTATTGAACTGTTAGAATTCCATTTTAGTGAGTATATATTATAATATCCAGTTCGGTGTGATAAAGCTCTTTTTTCATGTCCCATCTGACAACCCAAACCATCCTAGTACTATTCAATACTGCTTGGAAACTGTGGATACAATGGATTCCACTGAATGAGAAATACTGTATGACAAAAGAGTCATAATTCCTTGTCTGTGTAATAGTCAACGTATTTAACAGGATAATGTATTATGTATAAAATATAGCACCAGTAGTTGAATTCCTGTGAAATGTTAACTATTCTAACTCAAATTTGACATATGTTTCAAAATGTTTGGGGTATCATCCATTGATTTTTAAAAAGATGGTACTTCCTGGTAAGCAGCAGCTCAGAGTAGAAAGAGCACTGGACCTGGAGTCAGATGCAATGCAGGTTGTTTTCGCTAAACACTCTAGTATCCTTTCCAGATCTAATGTTCTATTATCTTTTACTACTGAATTTTGAGAGTTTGATTATTTGAGGTAATCTTGAAATGGTTTTAAAGTTACCGTCTTCAGGTATTTTGTTCTTGATCAGTTTTGGAAACGGAATTTGGTAAGGACAGGGGTTGGGAGGAGACAGTTTCATTGGGTTTTTTTTTGTATTTTCCACAGATCTGCTGTCGAATATCTTCTATCACTTGTTAGCAGAGGTCGGCTTCCCTCTACTCTGTTGACAAGAGTTGGAAAGCAGCAAGGAGATGCCAAAGAGCAGCCGCAGTGCTTTGGGCCCCGAGCACAAGAGAAAAACACTCTCTGAGAGACTAGACTGGTGTGGTGTGTTTATGTAACTGGCTCGAGTTCCCCAGATTAAATAGCTTAGAATTTCTCAAGAGGGTTCACTTAAGCAAATGTTGCTTTTGTTCTCAGAGTTCCTTCTCCCCAACCCCACTTCTGTTGACATCTCGACATCGGTGTCTGACCAATAGGAATCACAAGCTTTAAATTGATCACATCTTGCTCTCCAATCTTGCTTCTCTCTTGGATTCCCAGCCTCGATCAACAATATCACCATCACGCTGGTTCTAGCCAAGTTCAAAACTTTGGAGCCATTCTTGACTCCTCCTTCTCCCTCATTGCCCGGTTGCCCTCTCCAACCCACCCTTCACAATGTAGCTGCCAAAGTGCTCTTTCTAAAGTGCAAATATGATCACAGAGCTTCCCTGCTTAAAATACTTTAATGACTCCTTTTCACCTCCTGGATTAAACTCAAAGCCCTCTTTCGGTACCTCTATACCTCTCTAGCCCAATCCCCTGCCGCTTCTGGCCATTCCTCTGAGCCCCTTACATTCCAGTTACACGAACTGCTCCCAGTTACCCAAACACACCGTTCACTTTCGTGATTGTGACTTTGCATGTGAAATTTCCTCTGCTACTTTCTCAGCTCAAGTTAGTTACTTTTCCTCATGTTCCCATTTCCACATACTAGTTGTATAAGTCGTCATACTAGTTCATAGTTACTTCTTTGCTTGTTTGTCTTCACTACCAGACTGCCAGTTCCCTGTTTCGGGAGAAGATAAGCATTACGGAGGAGATTCAGACTCTGGGTGCTTCTAGATGGCACTGAAGCTTAACTTTGGACCCCGAGACACTATGCAAGTCTCTAATGCTCACTTTTTCTCCTTGTCCCAGCCCTCCCTCTGGTGGAGGTGTTAAGAAGCAGTGGAATGGTCACATGGCCAAAGATAAGACAAAGCAGCCTGGCTGATCCACAACCTGGATAAACATCTGCCCCACATCGTTTTCTAGGCAAATGAAACGCTGGCAATGGGCCTTGGATTTTGGGTGGCCTGGCGGGAGCTTTCTGTCTTACTATGTATCAGTTGGCAGACCGTGATTTCAATCCCTAGAGCTGTAGCTGGGGCTCAACATGCCCATCCCGGATGGTCTCAAAGAACATTATACTACTGTCAAGCATATAGCCCAAGAATAATTAGCTGGTGGAGATCTTCCTTGTTTTCTCCTTTGCCTGAAGCTGAGACAAACCCGTGTGTAGGAATGTTTGCCTTTGGATGATCACACCACAGAGCAAGGAATCAAATGCCAATCACATCCACATGGTAAGTATTCTCCCCAGTTGCTATGGACCCCACCTCCCCGAAAAAGTCATAGGAAAGGTGTTCATTTCTATTCCAGAACGATATCCAGTTAGCACTGCTTTCTGTCCCAGCTGAAGATAACCTAGTCTTCAAATCAGTATTATTTAGTTGCCCTTTTGAGGCAGCCAGTTCCTCAAGCACCCTTGGATATAGAGTTCTCTAGGTATGGTAGCCCTAGGTGTATTCTGAGTTGGTCTGATTGGTGATTCCCAGGGAAGGAACTTGTCAGGCAGGTTAAGAAAAAAAAAAATTTTTTTTTTTTTTAAAAAGGTTATCAGCCTGGTTGGGAGGAATCTCACCTCTAAAAACAACAAAATTTTACAAAACACGATGAATTTAAAATCATCATAGATATTCTCCTTCATGGCTCTTGTGAATTTTATCAGATACTATGTTTACACTATGGTGAGACTTCTAGCAGCAAGAATGGGTTTTAGTTTTAAGTAGGGGGAAAGGAAATTAACATCATCTATTTGTCATCAGGAGAGACTACCTTTAAAAAATCAATCCCACAATGTCATTTTATACATATGTCAAAGGCAAGGAAAGATGATCTGCTGTCTTAGGTGTCCATCTGGCTGTGTCCTGAGCGAAGAAAAAGAATTCAGGTACTACCAGGGGGTACATGAAATAAAACAGAAACAGAACTAGTGGGAGCGCCCTGCAAAGTTCTTAGGTTTCTATGTTCAGAGTAAAGATCACCCTACCCACAAAACGATCATTGATGACATCATTTATGATGCCCTTGCCCTTCAGCTGGCACTGGACGGGCACCGCTTGGTTCTTCACCACATCTGTAAAGTGCATTGCCACCAGCGGGGAGGTGTAGTTAACCTGTAGGCGGAAGAACAATGAATCCTAAATGCGAGGAGCGCATGGCATGGGGGTGGGTAACAGGATGCAAGTGAGCAGCTATTCAGTGCAGGATGGGATAACCCTCACACAGGGAACTGAGCAAATCCCATAATGCCAAGTCACTAATGGCTAAAGCAACTGACATGCTCTCTGCCCTGGGATGGTGGGGAAATGACACGCTTCTCGCATAAGTCACTGTCAGATGTCTGACCATCCTCTGGGGAAAACCAGTTCTAACTCTGTGTGATAGGATTTTCTGGCTATCAGACCATGAATGAAACCAGAACTAGTATCTTTCAAATGTCTATGCTAAAGGTGAAGCCTCGCCCTATGACCCACCACCACTGCCCCAAGGCTTCACCTGGGAGAAACAGGCAGGTGTGATTATTTGGGTATCGTGGGGTGCAATGACAGTGATCTGTCTGCTCCTGGCTCTGCCACTAATTAGCTATGTGTGTCGGGCAAGTCGCTTTCTCTCTCTGAACTCGAATTTCTCCATCTGTAAACTGAAGGAGTTAGACCAGACCAGAGCTGAAATATCTTCAGATACGGAAAGGAGTGGTTGTACTAGGAATTGGTAGTGGGAGCTCCTGGTCTTGGCCAGCCACTGTTCACCCCACTGTTACTATATGCTGCTCCCTAATTCTCAGACAGAGGACAGCCCTGCCTCTGTCTCTGAGCCCTTTCTGACAGCAAAGACTGGAAAGGATACAGGCTTACATGAGTCAGTTTGCCGTAGTAAGGGTAGTAGCGAAGGTCAAAAGAAGCCGACTCTGGGTAGTAATTGATGGATCGGATGTCATTTTCATCGCCTCTCTGGAAGTAAAAGCAGGTATATGTGGGATGTTGGGTCCCTGATGGGTTGAAGCCTGAGCTCAAGGGGCCTGTGCCCCAGGTGAAATCACGATGTGACCCATAACCAACTGTCCCAGGAAGACCCATGAAAGCAGAATGGGGCATAGCTTACCCCACACCTATCCCCAGAGCATTTCCAGGGAGAGACTGTGCCTCAGTTTTCAGTTGAAAGAATATTGAATGGAAGGCCTGGACTGAGGAGGCCGAATGTGCTTGATATAGTTCTGTACTGGCTCCTAGGGGACCCAGACAGAAGGGCTCCGGAAGGCTAGTGCTGCTCTAGCAAGAGGGCTTATCATGCCAGCCCCTCTAAAAAAAAAAAAAAATCATCCTGGGCCTGGCATCCAGTCTTGGACGTTGAGGCAGGTAGAAGTTAGAACATATTGAGTAAATCCCATGCCACGACAACTTGCACACCGTGGGTTCAGTTCTGTTGGAAGGTAGACCAGGTGCACAGGGATCTGCTGCCTAGGGACACAGCCTATAGTTTGGCCCACCAAAACTCATGTGTCTGACCACCTTCTCTGTAGTGCTTAATTGCAGGAGGTGAACTCAGGAGGATAAGCAAGAGGGAACCAGCGCTGCAAAGATGAAATAAATAAGTGTGCCCTCATCATATCATGTCAGGTAGAGGACTGACCATTCTGCCTATGCATTAGGCTTGCCCTATATAGCAGAGGTCTGGGGGTTAACAAGGGACAAACAGTGCTCACTACTAGTGGATCACTCACTGGGGTCATGGGATTGCTTCTGTCAATATAGTGTAATCGTTCAGGGTATACTCTTATTCTAGAGATGACCTTGTCCTGCTTGATTTCCACAAGTGGATGTGGATTTTGACCAACTGATTATTACGGAATGTATGACGACTCTGACTATTTCTTGTTTTCTTTTTAAAGGACGGTTCTCAGCAAGGTTCTGTGTAAGCGGAAAAACGAATGGCTTCCACTAGGGAACTATAAGCAGGACTCAAGCCAATTAGTATGCTAGTTTAAGACTGAGTCGGTCCCTATGATTTACTTACATTTTCTTCTAGAAAGCAACGCCGTTCACGTCTGTGAATAGTGTGTGGAATCAGTGCCACTAGTTTGTCTTCACGTCTCAAGCATGTGTATATTTACGCACACTCATGTCCATGTGGACAGAATGGATGTCCTTCCTACCTTGTTCACGGGGCAGACCACGGCCTGACCTTTCAACCCTCATCTTCAGTGTCCCCGCTGCACCCTTCACAGCAGCTGTAATACGTGGTTGCCCCGATTTCAGAGACCGAGTCATAGCTATCTCAGCACCCCTAACACCTAGCAAAGTACCTGGCGTAGCCTAAGGGATCAATAAATGCTGCCTCTTTCTGCTTTCTGACCCACCACCCTCAAGGCTGGAGGTCTGAGCTGTATTTCTAGCCCTGAGGACATTAGCGAGGCAGCCGTCCAGGGCTGGGGGCGCAGTGCATGTTAGGAAACCGGAGGGAGCTACTGCTTCCGGTTTGAGAAGCAAACCCACGATCTAGGGCTTCTTCCTACAAAGGAGCTAATTGGTGCAAATGAGATAGGAGTTAATGGTCCCTCGAAGGACAGTTAATTAGCATATTAATGGAGTTCTGTTTATACTTCCCTGGTAGTCCTTTGTTATTGCAACACGCAGTGCCACTGGTCATTGCTGCAAAAAGTGAAATTCTGGTTTAAAAGCAGGGACTAATGACTCTAACGAAAGCTGGTTGTTTAGTTCAAAGAAACAAGTAATTAGAGCTAAAAGCAAAAGTGTAAACAGAATTCCAGTTAATGACGTGGTACGTTGTCGGTCCCTGCTGCGGCCCTTAGCAGGTTGGTTCTTTGGCTTTCAAAGGTATAAACCAGCGAGGACACACACAGCCGCACGACACACACACACGTGAATTGAATGCTCTCCGGCAAGAGGGAGGCCAGAAGGTACTAGAGGGAGGCGTAGTTATGAAAATACTAACCCTTTCCCTAACCCATAGCCAGGCATCCATGGTGAAACCCTTGGAAGGGATGAACCGTCTTTTTACACAAAACAGATGCGCTAGCAATACTTACTCAAAAAGGCACTTTACCTGAACTTTGCAGGACACCTTCACAGGATCCCCAAGCTCAGGACGAAAGCCTACAATCTATCAAAAGAAAACCAGCATTGTTGTTGTTGTTGAACATCAAAACACAAAACGGATTGGACAGTAAAAATGGGGCTTTTCTAAACCCCCCCGTTAAGCCATCCCTTCCTTAGGCATAAACTTAACCTATTTTGCCCTCTCAGGAATGTTACAAAAAATGCAAAAATATCTCCAGAGCTGTGCAGCTCAGCTTACTCCTTGTTGTATTTGTGCCCGATGTTCGTACAATGGTAATGGCAGCAAGAGAACCCTGAAGATGTAAAGAACTTTCTGGTTTTAAGAGGGATGTGCCTGGTAAGGCTCTACCACACCTAAGGCATGGCAGGAGAGGAGGAAAATGTATCTCCTGTGATATAAGAATTGCCCCTCCCATCATGTCAGTCCCCTGTTCCAAACAGCTCAGGACCTCGTTACTGACAGAGGGCATCAAAGGTTAGGGGCGGGAGAGGAGGGTGGAAATAGGAAGTATTCAGGGAGAAAAAGGGATTATTGCTTGATAGGTTTGTCCGGTTGTTCGTATTACTGATGCTGTCAGTAAGAGTGGCCAGACTTGCAGGGTGCAAAGACAGAGCCCAAGAGAAACGGAGGGGCCAGAGCGTTCCCACCCAGCTCCTCCACTTATTATCACCAGAGTATCAAGGGCCAATATACCCGGTTCATCTTTAGAAGGATGCACGGCTGTCCAGTAGAGTAGCCAAAAGTAGGGTCCTCCAAGCCCGAGCAGTTCTTCAGGAAGGAGCGCTTAAATTGGCAGGCCTTCTTGTCTTCATCCTCATCGCCATCTTGGATGAAGTACTGCCCCGGGGGACAATCTACATTCATCTCCTCTTGAAGACTGTCGTTGTAACCTAAAGCATGTGTGGGGGCGGCAGGGGGGAGGGGGGCATGTTAGACAGGTGCTACAGGGGAGGGCCACGTTTTCAGTAGTCCTCCTCCGTAGTTTCCTTTCTGCAGCATTCTGGTGCTCCTCTGAGAGCCCACTCAGCCTGGCCTAGGCTCTGTGACCTGGCGTCGGTGTCCAATGCCCCCCCATCGGCCTCTCTCCCGGAAGCCTTTCGGGCTCATCCCCTGGGCCCACTTTGATTGCTTCTCCTTCCCTCCAAACTTTGGAATAGCTATCTCTGAGTCATGTGTTGGTCACTGTATAACTTCCATTTTCCATTATTTCTTTTCAGCGATGGCAAACTGTAAACTGGGGAGGGCTGCCCCTTCTACTTCTGGAAGAGGAAGAGGCACATAGTAGATTCTGGAAGAGGGACTGAATCATGTCACGGCCTGGCTTATATAAGGAAGCGAACCTCTTGGGCTAAATCTTTTTAAGTTCAGTCTAGGAAACGTCTCCCTTGGAGGTCCCTGAGAGACACCAGACACAAGAAAATGAGAAGTGTGTGTTGTGGGACAGGAGGGAGGGAGAGGAGATAAACCAGCTTCTCATCCTTTACAGACCGAAGTTAGCACCACAAAATAGAAGCTTAGGTTGAAAGACAGAAACCAATGACAAGCTGTAGGGTCTCCCCCGAGAACGTGAGAGGGTGAGATCTTGTCTACCGAGACCCGAGGCACTCAGGGTTCATGTCCCTTTACATCAGATGGAAAGGAGCATGTGTCCAAGGTATACATATCACCGAGGGAGAGCTGAAAAGGGGCTGTCTGTGAGCTCACTCTTTGGACTACCAGATGCCACTGAACTGGTCTTTGGAAATGACTGCATTATTTCCAATTTGGTTTTAAATGATGGAGTCCAGTTAGTCCTGTTAGGTCCAGCCCCCATGCACTCATGTTCCCAGTAGCTTAGTTTTTCAGAGGAGTCTGTGCACCTATGATCTACCGGGGGTAAAACTCCAAATGTACTGCTGGGTTGTCATCTAGACAGATTGTGACTTGGGTTTAATATTATTAAGGAGCAACTGGGAATTTTAAATCTATTTCAATTATGGTTAAGCCTTTATTTTTCCTTTGACAAAGCTACATTCGACTCGTTTTCGTTTTAATCTTTTTTTTTTTAGAACAAGAACTATGTTCAAATAATAAGTTTCTAAATAGAAGCTCTAATCACGTGCTCATTGTTTCTCTTGAGGTAGTTCCATTAAAAATAATGTGACATGGGCATGACCCTTATTGCAAAATCCCAGTCCTCGTGGGAATGAAATTGATACTCTGGGATGTCTATTTCAGAGATGTGTTCCTTTTAAATAGGGCATGTTATCTACCCTTAGGAACTAAAAACCCAATGCTTTCCCTAATGTTCTCCATCTCTGTCGTCAGGTCAGAATTGGTATTTCTCTATCTACTAGCTTCTCGGAGGGATTTCCTCAGCAGAGATTCTGACAACACACTTGCAATAGCTCACAAACAGTTTGAAAGAAAAGACGAGACTGTGCCGGCTCTGATGCCTAAAACGTTTTTGTTTTTGTTTTTTAAAGATTTTATTTATCTGACAGAGAGAGCACAAGCAGAGGGAGAGAGAGGGAGAAGCAGACTCCCTGCTGAGCAAGGAGCCCGATGTGGGACTCTATCCCAGGACCCCGGGATCATGACCTGAGCCAAAGGCAGACGCTTAACGACTGAGGCACCCAGGCGTCCCAAAACGTTTTTGTTTTTGTTTTTGTTTTTTTTTGAGCTTAAAAAACTACATGGATTCAGAAGGGACCCAGTCCCCCTCATTTTACAGATGAGGAATCTGAAACTCAGACTTCCCCAAAATGATACTGAGCATGACTGTTACAAAGCTGAGTTTCTAACTCCCGGTCATATGGCAGCAACAAAGAATTACAAAAAGCAGTATTTCTCAAGCTTTAAAGTTTATAGAGATCACCTGTGGATTTTGTTCAAGTGCCGATCCTGATTCAACAGGTCTGGGGTGGGGCCTGAGAGCCTGCCCTTCTAACAAACTCCCAGGGGATGCTGATGCTGCGGGTCCTGGACCACACTTCCAGTAGCAAAGGTGTCACAACCATGGATGTGGTTTTAAACACTGGTTCGACTGCTGGGAGACTTTTATCACATTACTTCCCCTTTCTGAGCCTCAGTTGCCCCATTTGTAGAATGGAGATGGTAGATTCTTTATGTAGCCCCAATGCGGGGCTCGAACTCACAACCCTAAGATCGAAACCTGAGCTGAGATCAGGAGTTGGACACTTAACCGACGACTGAGCCACCCAGGCGCCCTGACAGTAGCTTCTATGCAGGGGTAAAGTTAAATGACAAAATTTATGCATTTATATAACCCTTCCCATCACATAAGAGATTGTTTTTCTCTTTCAGTGCACATTCTACTGCTCCCTATCCCTCCATTTCAGCCAGGCAGGGACAACCAAAGCAATGAAACTGGCTTTTTTCCACAACTAATTTGTGCAGCCCACTGGAGCTTAGAGCCTGCATGCTCTGTGTCAGACCTTAACCAAACTGCTACCTCAGCTTTCAGTCCATGGAAGGGCTTCTCAAAAAGCCACTCGGTCCCTGAAAGTGTATCTGATGATGCTATAGAGATAGGCATCTTGCAAACATTTCCTATCAAAATGTTGGAGTGACTGTCACCCAAAGATTCTTTCTCTAACTCCCTGCCAGGATGCTATTAAATCAAGACCCTTGCTCTCTTCCTTCAAGATGGCCCATCTCCAAGAAAGGAATTCTCTTACCTTGAGAAAGTATAGGAGGCAGGAATCTTCCCATTCTGGAGAACACTCTTCTTTTCTCACCACTACCCACCCCCTGGAATGATCTTTTATAAATGGTCATTATTGAGCCATCTGGATGTGCCCAGGACATAACTAGGTGCCCTAGAATGTTTAAGAAAACAAATTCTCTGCCCCCAGTGAACTTAGCATCTTGCTGGAGACTTGGCTTGTATGCTTTCAAGACAACATACAGTCACAAACTAGAACAGTCTTGATTGTATATACAGGTGCTGAGGGGGATGCAAGGTAAGGAAAGACCAGGATGGGCTGGGGTTAGTAAGGGTGGGATTTCTGGTGAATTGTGAATTTCGAATCCCCCACCCCCAACCCATCACCTTTCCACAGAGATTTCCCCCATTCAGAGGCACTTACTTACCCTGGAGAAAGCCATTTAGGCTAATGACATAATGCTGCCAAGTGTCAGGTTCAGAAACGTTGAAGTTGAAGTTAAGGCTATGGGCGAAGGGTCTAATCATAACTCCTGGCAACGAAAACAGGTCTTGGATATATTAACCCATTCTTGGGATAATTTTTTGGTATTGATTCCCATGAAACCATTACCCCCCAGGCAATCAAAACAAAAAGGACCATAATTTGCCAAGTACCATTTTACTTTTACTCTTAATAATTGAATCCCTAAGTCATTACCAGGAAGAGCCAAAGTTAATTGAGGCTGAACATGCTGTCCAAGCAGATTTCTGTCCAGCGAGTGCTGACAGTACAGGGCATCTGGGCACTCACCAGGAGGCTTCACCCTCTCAGTGAAGGTCGGCATGTAGGGACTGATGGTCAGAAATAGCGTGTACATGCAGAGGGTGATGACAGCAGCCAGGGAGGCATAGAAGAAGAAGTAAATGACTAAGATCAGGCCTGCAGAAGGATCAGAGATGAGAGTGGTCAGTGCTTGCCAACTAGCCCTCCTGCCTCCTCACTTGAACTCATGAGCCAGAACCAACCCCAACACGTGAGATGGCTTTTATTTATTTATTTATTTATTTTTCCACATTCCCCAGATTCAGTGTGTCCTTGCTTATTCAGATTTCACCAATTTGGAATTCATGAGAACTGTGCTGGAGGTCTGATTGCAGTGTACCTTTACAGCATCTCCGATGGAAGGGCTTGTTGAGCAGATGATGGCCATGAGCAAGATTACAGGGGAGTGGAGTTGAGAGTACTGCAGAGGGCAAATTGCTTGGGAGCCCTCATTAAAGCAGGTGCCCTGAAGAGTCCTAGCGGCTTGGCTCCAGTGATTATATGTATTTGCAAGAGATGAAAACAGCATTTCTTTTCACATAGCCTATAATTCAAACTTTTGATTAATTTCCGCTGGACTTGCCTCTACTCTAATCAAGGCAAAGTGAGGCCTCACCCTACTTATTTCAAATCTTATTCATCTTTAGCAAAAGTTTAAGTGGCTCTGCTTTTCCAAAAGAACACGCGATGGGGAAGGAAGGAAGAAGAAACTGTACTTAATTATCGACACTTGCTCTACCTGTGAGCTTGGGCAAGTTCCAGAACCTCTCTGTGCCCCCAATTCCTCACAGGTAAAATGGGAACAAGCTTAGCACTTCACCTCATATACTGATCTACATCCCTAACAATATCTGAAATTCCGCTTCTCCTCGTGTCCTTTCCTGACCTTACCATTTCCTCGCTGTTTCATCTTGGACATGCTGCTCGCCTCTCTGGGCCTCAATTTCCTCATCTGTACAATGAGGACAATAATAGGACTTCCTTCTTGGCGTGGGACGATGCATATAAATAGCATAGCACAGAGCCTGGCAGATACCAAGTACTCTTTACATGGCAGGTCCTCACATTATTATTCATGTGCTTATTGCTGTAGGACCCAAAGCACGTTTGTGTGAATGCCTCCTCCGTGGGCTGTTTTGGGATTAGGTTTGCCCCAGGATGAGGCAGAACCGAGTGAGGTGAATGAGCCCGAGATGGCTGCTGAGAAGCTCTTTTCAAGTCTTCCTTGGGGCCCTCTCCGGCAACAGTATCTGGCTCCGCTCACAGCAGTGACATGATGTCGGGACAGATTTGAACTGAATCACAAACCAGAAACCGGAACAAACCACGTAACTCTGCTGTACCCAAAACTGAATCCAAATATTAATTTTTAAATTGAACCATGAACCAAATAAAATTAACCAGAAAGGGGGGGGGGAGGGAGGACCAGAGGAAGGGAGAAAAAAGATCCTCAGGCATCCAACTGGAAATGGAACCTTGATGTTTCATAAGGTGAACTGAGGCAGAACTGGGGCAGGAACACATCGATTCTGCTGGAATCCCTAGAGATGAAACAGCAGCGCCCGTGCGCCTGTGGTACTTGGCTCCTGCCCGCTGGCTGCCTTGATGGGATGTGCCCTGTGCCTCCTCCCCTCTTCCTCAACCCCCGTCCCCAGTCCTGGGAAGGGGTCAACGGCTGGAGCCATCCTGGGGGACTAGAAGACTCAGTCTCATGGATGAAAGGAAAGCAATGGGATACAGGTACATTCCCTTGGAGATGTCTTCTGCCTTGTGTAGGATGTGTGGCTAGGAAGTGTAGAGGGGAGAATGGCACTAGTGGTGAGTCCCCTGAGCCTTACCCCTGAGCTATGCCCTGAAGTCTGTGATGGGCTAACACAGCTTCCCACCCCCGCCCCCATCCCCACCAAGGAAGACCAAGCACCATACCCGTCAGAACCCACTGAGCCCTCCAACTTTTTCTGCCCTGGATGTCCAGGTTTTACTTGGGCTACTCTAGGTAATCCAGGGGTCTCTTCTGAATGCCTTACCCAAGCCTGGGCCCCATGATCTAAATTCTTCCTTGCTCCCACCAAAACATCCCATCAGGTCCTGAGACCCTACCCATCAGGGCCTTGCTCATCACTACACTTCATGAAGACAATGTGGTGTTCCAGCAAGAGGATGAACCCCAGTGTTCATCTGACCTGGGCTTGAATCCCAGTGCTGCCGCTTAATAACTGTGTGACTTTAGATAAGTTACTTACCCTCTCTAAGCCTCAGTTTCTGCATCTGTAAAATGGGGATAATAATATTACTACCTCATATGGTTCTTGTCAGTATCCAATAAAATAACAGATAGTTCCTAAAAATAGAAGTTGCCCACCTACCAAAGGAAAAACCCAGAATAATATAATCATAGGCTGGGTGAATAATGTTGGTCATGTCGATGTGCAGGCTATGATAGGGTTAGTAAATGCTCAAGTGGGCACCTAGTTTTCAAGCAAGAGGGCAGCAAAGAGGGCAGCAAAGCATATGCTTGGTGGCCTAGGCATTAACATCACCACGTGCCCCTTGCCCAGGCATAGCCCAACAGCATAAGCCTGAGTTCCTGGACTCTCCTCAGACCTGCCATCCAGAGGCCTGGATATGGCCTACCATGTGGTGTCCCCACTGCCATGTCTTCCCTGGGCACTTGAAACTTTCTCCCCCATCACTCTCTTTTGGCCTGTGGATTATTCTCCCCAGGAGCACATGGATCAGCTCATCTGGTGAAATTCCAATGGCTGGCTGTTTAGGGGTTAAAGTACAGCTCCCTCTCCCAGAATCACACTTGCATTTCACAAGGCCTATTTACCCAGTCTTCTTTAGGCAAGGAAGAAACAGCTGTGCCCCCTTAGGAGCCCCAGTGAGTGTCCGGCATTTGTCTGCAGCTTCCAGAATGTTGGAATGTTCCTTGAATGGTACATTTGTTCCAGTTGAGAGTTTGAGGGATCGCAGGGGTGGGGCTGGGAACTGGGGAGGGGTGAAGGGAGGTGGGCGTTGCTCAGAGCCCCACACCTGCTATTCCTAATTCCAGGAAGGAGGGCTGGCCGTCTCACCCTGACGGAGCTGAATTAGAAACATAAACTAGGTGGGGAGAGAATTCTCAGCCAAAGGGGCCTTTAGAAGGCATGACCATCAACTTCAGCAACCTAGACCCTGGGCCCAGGGGGACTCTGATTTCATCTGCAGAGTCATCTATTTTGTTCTTCTCCTGGGTTAACTGAGTGCCAAGCCAGCGGCTACTCTTTTTCTGGGCTGTGCAGAGAGTGTGGCAAGTGTGAATTTTACCACAGGCTAAATCTCCTGAGAAGGCACAGCATGAATAGTTCAAGAGGTGAGTAGGACCCTGGGAGAGGGGTGCTGGAGAGGTCGTGAAGTCAAAGCCGTGGCTGAGGAATGCCATTCTGCCACTGATCGAGCATGATGGGGGCTCGGCCGTAATTGCCAGAAATGACCCCTTTAAATCGAATTTCTCTGTGTACACGGTGGGAGCCTAAAGCACCCACAAGCCGGGGCTGAGGGCAGGCCTCCTGGCTTTCCTTTTCTGACATTACTGGGTGAAACGATGAGATTTTATAAATCTGCGGTCAAGTTAGCAGGGACTGGGGTCTCATATCCTAGCAACAGTCTCCTGCATAGTACAGTTGACCCTTGAACAGCGCGGGGCTTAGGCGTGCTAACCCCCGTGTGGTCGAAAATCTGTGTCTAAGTCTTGACTTCCCCAAACGTAACTCCTAACAGCCTACTGTTGACCAGAAGCCAGGAAGAGTCAATTCACGCGTATTTGGTACATTACATGTAGGATATGCTGTCTGCTTACGATAAAGTAAGCTACAGAAAAGGCAATCTTGTGGAAGAGAAAATACATTTACGGGACTACGCTGTATTTATGGGGGAAAACACAGCACCTGTGTGGGGCAGTGCCATTCAAACCTGTGTTGTTCAAGGATCAACTGTGCTTTCAAGTTTACAACTGGAGCATCTGACGGGAGCCTCAGGCTGATCCTGTGGGAGAAACATGGTAGGGATTGTTTCCCTCCTTTGGCAGGTGAGGAAGAATGAGGCTCAGAGAGGGTAAAGGATGAGCCCAAGGTCACACAGATAGGAAGTGATGGGGCCGGGACTTAAACAACAAGAACAACAAAAAAATCTGTGCTTTCTCAACTCATTCTTACTGTCTCTTTGCATCGCAAATTGAAGTTGAGCCCAGCGACTTTCAGCTCCACAACCTAGTGTGTTTACCTACTTGGAGTTTCTTCCAATGGGATCTGCCCACAGTCCAGGCATTTCCCTAGGCATCCAGCCCTTCACACGAAATCTAAGGGAAATTTGCAGACAAGCCCATCCAACGTATGGTAAAGGAGTCCTGGACACCAAGCCAAAAGCAAAGGACACCCAACTGGGGCATTGGGACGACTGGGACTTACTCCAACTCTGACCTGTTCGGGCCAGAGACATCCTTTTCTCCGGATCCCACAGGTATTCGCTCACGATCTGCCATCTCTGCCACCAAGCATTGCCTGCTGGCTGACCTTGACCCTTTTCCTCCTCCTTTTCCTCCTCTTCTATCTCCTCCTCTTCCTCCTCCTCCTCTTCTTCCTCCTCCTCCTCCAAATCGGGTACCACCATCACCCGAGCCTCTTCTTCAGCTTCTTCCTCTTCATCTGCTAAGTAGTTCTGGTTCACTTCATCCTGATCGTCCTGGAATGGTGACAAAACACAGTCCCCTTTTTGACAAAAAATTCCCCAGGGCGCAGCCCACCAGCCAAAAGGAATGGAAAACGACTCAATATTCAGAGACGCCTCCCCCTCGTTACAAGAGGCACATGTTCTCTCTCTCTCTGCTCTTTTGGAGGAAATATCCTTTCTTTGACCCATTTTGACCCAATATGCTTTCCACAGAGGTGTAAGTTTTATTCTCAGCTGCAGGCCCTTGGGCTCTTCCTCCCAGGACTCTGCTTATGTCACTCCTCCGTCTTGGGGCCTGGGCCTCGCTTTGTCTGACCTGTTAGGGCGGAGCTGAGCTCAACACCGGAGAACAGACTCATTTTAGACACTTGAGTCCACCATCGCAAATTCTAAGTCCAAGCCAGCTTTACCGTCAGTCCTGTAGCTGGCAGGTGCTCAACCTGACCATCCACGTTGTACCTGAAAGTAGCTTGGGACAGACCGCAGGAGGAGAGGCCAGCGGCTGGACCCCTCCTCAAAACCTAGACTCCCTCCCTAGCAAAAACAAAACACAGGGGTCTGTTTGCTGCTTCTCTGACTGTTGCCTGGGCTGGCACCTCCGCTGGTTGAACAGACTCCCTAAGGTCTGGAACCTGAACTGATACTTCCTTAGTCTCCCCCCATCCCCCCCCACCCCATACCCTAGGCAAAAATCTGGGCACGTAGTGAGTGCTCAGCACATATCTGTTGATTGACTGATTGCAGTCATTGAGATCTGAAACTATAATCTTCTCTGAGTGGTTCTAAGGAAATTAAACAAAAAAAGAGAAACCCAGACTTCACCAACGGTATTTCAAACGCCTCCCAGCCATAGGCAGGAGAGTTGGATCTTTGCTCTTTGGGGGTCTGCCAAGGCTCACTGCAGCAGCAGAAAATGAGGCCACCCTCCCTTCTCTCTGCTGTCCAAATCTGAAGGGTGGCGGGGCCTGTGCACCTGTTGGGGTTGGATGTGTCAAATGATAGAGGCCAGGGGCTCCATGCTGCCCCCTCCCTGCCTGATTCCTCAAAGGCCGTTTAGAGGACACTCAGCTAAAAATGCTGCCATGGGGGGGTGCTCAGAAAATTGGATTGTTCAGAATCAGTAAAAGGGACAGAGAATGACAAGGCTCTGCTCTCAGCGTTCAGTCTGGCCAGCGCTGTCTAGCTCTGGATCGTAAGCACTTCTGAATGGCTCTCGAGTTTGTTCCAATGTACAGCCTTCTATCACACACCATACTAGAACTGACTGGGACCCTGAAGATTCCCTTGTCCCTCGGAGGCCCAGAGAGGGAGCAGGACATAGCTGTAGCCACACAGCGAGTTTGTGATTAGGTTAACAGAACCTGTGTCTCTTGTTACCCGGGACAGTGAGGTCTCTCCCCTCGCCCACTGAGCGCAAGCGCCCAGACGCCGGTAACAGAATGATGGAGCCACCATAGGTGTGTCGGATTCTGTGCTCCCAAGAGATTGTAGGTGCTCATAATCAAGGATTTCTGGCTCTGACGTTGGACTCACGGTACAAGGCTCAGAAAAGCCCCCATCATTCAGCGTTGAACGGACTAATAAATGTTCTTAAATCTCTTTCCCTTGTGTGTGAACACACGGACGCATTTGACTTCCCCAACTACATTCTGAGCACCCAAGGGGCAGAGTGGATATTTTCCAACTCCTTGATGGCCCTCCCCGCGTGTGGGGCCCACAGCTCGGGAGCCGGTGGGGACCAAACGAGCGCCAGTGGTAACTACCAGGCTTAAAACCTGAGCCTGGACTCTGGGGAAATTGCTCTCACAGAGCTTGTCGTCCTAAACCCCAGTAGCCTTGTGGACTGTGGTGGGTAGTCCTTATGGCCCCCCAAGAATCTACCGCACCTGGGAATCTCCGAGAATTTGAGGTGGAACGGTTCACTGCGGAAGGATTTATAGTCCCCTTTATGTTTTCTTAACTTCCTTTTCTCTCCCTCTTGCCCGGGGGGCGGGGGGGGTGGCCTGCCCTCCACCTCTGCTTCTGCTCCACAGAGGAGGCAGCTGGCCTGGGCCTCAGCCTGATCTTATTTGTAGATATGAGCTTTCATGATAATCCCATTAAAGATGGCTTGTCATTTAAAGCTTTACCCTCCCGGGAAGAATTAACCTTCTCCGAGCTAATATCCCCACGGCTCTCACACTGCCTGAGTTTCAGGAATCTCAAATGTCTTTTTTGCTCTCCTCTGCTTCCCGGGACAGGAGAACCTCACGTTGTGCAAGGGAGGCACTTTTGTGCAACTAACTATTTAACAGAATCCTGTAGGGAATCCTTCGGTAATGAGAGGGTCTGTGTTTGTCCGTTGCCTAAAGTGGCAGTGCCCTCATGTGATAGTGTGTGTGAATGTGCTGGAATATAGTAGTGGGTGTGTGCCGGGGCCATCATGTTGCCCTAAAAGGGAAGAGTCTGAAGGGCAGAGGGTGGCTCCATTTTGAGCACTCTAAATATATAAACATGTAAACATATAAACAAACAGTGTGACCCAAAGGATAAATTTGTGCCCTGCATTGAATAACACCCTGTAAACGTTTGAATGGTTGGTTGATTTTAAAGAGAAATTAGCATAAGATTAACCACTGCATTAAATAGTTTCTTTTTAAATTTGATCAAGTATTCCCTCTAAAGGGCAAGATCCCCCGATGCCTTTAAAATCAAGCATTTCCTATAAAGAGCAAGCTCCTCTGGTGCACTTGACAAATAACTGAACCGATACACAACGCTTTAGCAACATTATGGAGAAAAGAAGCCAAGGAAGGAAGAATTCTAGGTGCCCTACAGGCTATGAGTGCTCCGAAAGCTGGGAGGGACTCTGGAAATGCGAAAAGAAAGATTCTGCACGGTGTGGCTGAGAAGGGAAGCCCTCTGTAGGTTGACATGGACTTGGAAGGATTCGTGTTTTCCTCTGCCGGCTGTTGACAGTCTTTACTTAACTCCCTGGTTATATAAGGGGCCATTTCCCAAAGAAAAGTGGATTAAGCTTTGTTTCCTCCTGGGGCTCAGATCACAGCCCTCTCTGGGGGAGATTTCAGACTACACTGTCCCCCCCAAATAGTACTGCGTGTGGCATATATTAATGATTTCTAGCAAAGAAAATGCAAAGAAACCGTGGGTTCAAAGAAATCTGTGATGCACCCTGGATGGAGATAAATGGCGACAGCAGAGAGGCGCGTGCGTGCACGCGCGCGCGCGCACGTGAGAGTGTTTGTGTGTGTGTGTGTGCGCTGGGCGGGGTGGGGTAGGGTGGCAGGCAGTCTGGCAACGGGTGGGGGAGGATCAGAGGGCTAGGGAGTTGCCTACTGCACATCTAATAGAAAGAGCCCAAGATTAGAAGTGAGGAAACTTGGCGTTCTCTCTAGCCCTCTCACTAACTTGCAAGTCACTCCTGTGCTCTGAGCCCCAGCAGCCTCCTTTACATAATGAGGGGTTCTGGAGAGATGATGTCTAAGATTACGCCCGGCTTCTATCTACGATTCTCTGATTTTTCCCGAGAGTTTGGAATTTCTGCTTTAGAAAAAGAGCAGCTGGGTTCCTCAGGCGCTCCCGCCCCGGGGGACTGAAGACAGCTGGGTGGGCTGTGTCTTTCCCTTCATCTTCCCCTTCCTCTCTCCCCTGGCTAAAATTCCTGCTATGGGACCAAAACCTCTACTCCCAGACTCCAAAAGCTCTGTTTGTTTAAATTCTAGACTTCCCCCCCCGCCCCAATTTTAGAAGGCCACTATTCTTTGGCATCTTCCCCTCCCCTTGTCTTTTGTTCTCCAGGAAGAGGGGCTTCCTCCTTCAATGCAGCAATTTAGGGCACAATGGGGTGCCAGGAGTTATCGCTGGATCTTGAAACTATAGGCTTCCTTACACCTCACTGTTCCTGCCCATGCTGAGGAGAAGCAGCCATAAGCCAAGATCTACGCAACCCCCAGCCCACCCCCCTCAAAAGGGCGGGCAAAATATTCTGCTCCCCGGGACTCACAAGTCTGTAGCGATAAGCGTAAGGAGAGGCCGGAGCCCTTCTGGACCGGAGCTGCCTTCTCATGGCTGTTCCGTGGGCACAGACGGGGCAGAGGCAGGCCAGGGGGTGAGAGTTCTGGAGCTTCTGCTGGTACAGGAGACACTGGTTGCTGGGGACACTTGGCGCCTAGTAAAAGTGAACCCTCCTGGCATGAGCCCTTCCCCAAAATAATCTAACATGCCCCTCTCTCATTGGTTGGCCCATTCCCTGAATCAAAGGAAAGCCCTTATGGAAAAGCAAGCTCATCATCACAGGGAGGGGGGAGATATTCTGGGTCACGAGGATGAGCGACTCACCACCCCCCTCACCTCATGTCTCTACCCGCCCTCTGTCCTTCTCTAGCGCCCGAGGTACTATGGGCCCAATGGAAATCTTAAGTCGTGTTCTTCTCAATTGAGAGCTGAGTATCAGTGTGTGCAGGAGGTGGGGCGTGGGTGGGAGTTGGGGGTGAGGGGACATGGCCAAGAATATCTTTCTTTTTTCATAAGACTGATCTCATGCAAAAGGATCTAGGGTGTCAGGAAAGATTCCCTTTGCTCTCCCCACCCGCCCCCCTCTACACACACACCAAGCCACCTACAATATTCCTTATTTGTGTCAACCCATGAGCCCCTTGAAATGTGGATTATGCATTCCGATTTTAGAGGCCAGGCTCCTGCTTTACCCCTCCCCTCCCCAGAGAGGGTCTTGGACATAAAGAAGCCTTTTTCTAGCCCACATGTCAGAATGGCGCCATCAGTCACTGCCCCTCACGCACACACCCCTTGGAATCCTGGCCACATTTCTGTAGTGGTTGAGATCTATATTTATCCCTTAGCATCAGGGCAGGGAACAGGCCAGAACTTTGCAGTGTCAGTTTCCCAGACATATATAACTCCTGAAGCCAATGTGGGATCCAACAAAAGAAAAATTAGTAGAAAGAGCCAAAACATTGTATAGCATTTTTGGTCTGTTCGGTCCACCCCACCAGAGCCTGGGTGACTAAAAGGCTTGGGTAGAATTTGTGATTCTTCTTTCACAAATCACCCCGTTATACCCAGGTGGCTGAGAATGTTGCAGATAATGAGATTCTGGGCGTATACATAACCAAGAAAACCAGCACAATTGCTTAGATAGATTGACTTGTTCATAATTCCAAGCCTAGGCTATTCTGATGAAGACAGCTTCAATAGTGATTAATTTAAAATAAAGACTCCATTTACTAGAACGCTACTAATTAGGACTCTTCCTTAACAGAGTCCCTCCCCGCTCCATACCCTTATTTGATGAGAAAGAGGCCACTGACAAAAAAAGAGAAACTCATTCCTCTTTTTGGACTTTAATAAAAGCAAAATACATTCCAGGGGTTAATCTGATCTCAGTAGATACTGGGCCCTCTCACACTTTCTCCAATCAAGCCTTTTGTGTGACTCCTAATGTTAAGTATGAGAATCTCGAAGCCCTTTGCAAGCCTCAGAAACCAGAGGATAGGTTAACTGGTCTTGTCTTCCTAACGCAGAAAAGAGCACAATCATGTAAGCAAGATTTCAAAAATCAAGAGTTGGGGGGCAGCATTATTCACAATAGGCAAGGTCTGGAAGCAACCTAAGTGTCTGTCAGTGGATGAATGGATAAGGAAAGCGTCATACACAGACACACACAGAGGAATATCGTTTAGCCGTGAGAAAGAAGGAAATCCTGCCATTAGCAACAACATGGATGGACCTTGAGGGCATTATGCCAAGTGAAGTAAGTCAGACAACAAAAGGCAAATACTGTATGCTCCCACTTATATGTGGACTCTAAAAAAGCCACACTCATAGAAACAGAGTAGAATGGTGGTTAGCAGGGGCTGGGGTGGGGGAATTGGGGAGATGTTGGTCAAAGGGTACAAACTTCCAGTTATAAGGTGAATAAGTTCTGGGGATCTAATGTACAGCATGTGACTGTAGTTAATAACACTGTATTATTACTTGAAAGTTGCTAAGAGAGTTGATTTTAAGTGTCCTCACCATGAAAAAGAAATGGCACTTAAGTGACATGATGAAGGTTTTGTTAGCTAACACTACGGTGACCATGATTTTGCAATATATAAGTGAGTCAAACCACCTTGTACACCTAAACTTATACAATGTTATATGTCAATACATCTCAATAAAGCTGGGGAAAAAACCCAAGAGGGGGAAGACAAAAGGAGATTTGGAGCAATGTGACCTCAGGTAACAAAATATTCCATTCTCCAGAATCTCCCATGCCCGAGCCTTCTGGGTCACTTGGGGTTTGCTATACACTTAATATATTTGCGGTGTATTTGGACTATAGCTCAGGCTGCCTTCTGGAATGCCAGCTCTTGGGTGGGGTAAAAGAACAAAATCCCATGGGACCTCAAAGACAGAAATCTGTATGAGTTCACACTTAAAAAAGTAGCTACAGGAGAAACCATTCCTGCCACGGTGGGGGGGGGGGCAGGGGGAGCAATCTGCCACACAGTGCAGCAGGCTGGAGCCGGAAGTGGCCTGCAGAGCTGCAAATGAACCATGGCTACGGAGGCAAGAGAGGCAAGGAGAGGCTTTGACAGCAGATCCAACGGCAAATGACTTCAGTCTCTCAAACTGTATATGCCCAGTCCTTGGACGCAGGTGTTCGCAGCTGCTTCTAGAAGCCACCTCTCCTGGAGGCCTGCTCTGGTCAAACCACATGGTTGCTGGGTTGCTGATGGGGAACAGAAAGCTATGGACTGGGTCCTCCTGTTCCCAGAGGAAGAAAGAGTTGGTAGCACTCTTCAGAGAATCTTTGCCTCCACCGTGAGATGGGCTAGTTTCTGACATCTGTTCTTGTGGGTCAGTTCCACAATTGTGTGTGTGTGTGTGTTGGCTGGGGGGAGGGTGGAGTGTGTCCCAGAGCCACCAAAGAGCAGTTGTGTAGTTGTGTGCTTTCCTTAAGTCTTCAGGGAGTCTCTGGGAGGTCACGTGCAGTGGGGCTTAAGAGTTCTTTGCCATTGGAGTCAGTGGGGCCAGTGCTGGGCACTCTCTAGAACCCCAGACACTTCCAGCATTAGTGACCTGTGGACTCTGAAGTCATGGGTGCCGAAGCTCCAGGCCAGCCGAGGCCTGAGGCTGCCCGTGAATAATGCCCAGCATCAGGTGTCATCTTCAAAGTGCATGCAGGAAGGGGAACTTATTTGGGGCTGCAGAGATCAGGGAAGTCTTCCCGGAATAGGCGGGGTTTGGGTTGGACCTTGAAGGGCAGTCCTTCAAGCTGGAACAGCTGCTGCCTGACTTTGCTGATGCCAGTATGGTCCCTGGTGCCCGAAGCTCCCCCGCCCGCACAGCTAGCCTCTGAGTAGTGGCCAGCAGGCTCACTGGCTGAGGCCAGAGGGTTTCCTTGACCTGAATGGTCCAGATAATGGCCCCAGATCCCTACTTCGCTGGGTTCCAAGAAGAACCCTTAGCGCATCACATTCCTGAGCAGAGTTTCCATCTGTCGAGTACAGTTGTACAGTGAGAGATGCTTTCATTTCGAGGGACTGAGGGCTATGGGTTGGTGACTGTATAAGCCTAGACCCCTAGGGGGAAAAAAATGAAGGCTTGGGAAATTGTGAGGTCCTTGTGGAGATTCAAGCCTATTTCCAGTGGCTAAAAGGCACTAATGAGCATAATGCAGGCAAGAGACGTCGTTTCAAACAAACAACTAATTGGAATTAAGAGAAGAAGTGTGCAGAGGCCCCTAATGAATGGATATGCTAATTGGTCTTCTTTGCTAGCCCCTTGGGCTTTGGCTGTGACATAGACTAGCCTATTAGATGCCTGCTCTCTAATAGCTGCTGAACGCCAGGGCCCTTTATCACCATGGTAACATTGATGTCTAGAGTCTAGCTGAGCCCCGGATCTCTTAATTTACTACTCAGGCGGCTACAATTCTTTGGGTTTTATTATTCTTCGTGCCCCGGGTGCCAGAGTGGCAGTGAATCATGCTTATTCATCCTCTGCACCGCCCACGGTGTCTTTGAATAAGTCAGGGTGTCTCTTACTGTGTGTGATGAGCAGATTATTAAGTTAGAGCCTATTTCTGCCTTAGCTAGACTGGTGCCTCTCAGAAACCCAATGCACCTCTCTAACTGCCTGCTTACCTGCTGCATCAAATGGCTTTTGGCAAGCAGAGTCATGACACTGCAGTGGGCCCACAGAGGCCCCAATTCCCAGGAGCTTTGCGCTCGCTGGGTGGGCAGGGAGAGAGAGGAGCGATAGAGGGGGGGCTGCCCCAACCGACCGACTCCCCCCACCCCCGGGGAACCGGAGCTCAGGGACACAATCCATCAGAGGGAGCAGTCGGAGGGGGCGTAGGGTTCTGGCTCGGGAACTGTACTGCTAGAAGTTTCAGTCCCTCTAGGGTTGGGGGTGGGGCCTGGGTGCCCAAGGAGATGCCTTGTTCTGAGGAAGGCAGTAGCCCCCAGTGGCTAGCAGGTACCGGGAGGATGGCTTTCCCCTTGTTTTAGAAAAGACCTTTGTTGAAAAGAAGCTGGTCATGGACGCCAACTGCCTCTGAAAGCCAGTGAGCAACTTGTCACTGGAGCTGCCCCAACTTTGGTCTCTCGGCCAGGGGGTGATGAGTAGGATGGAGGGCTTTGCCGGGTGACCTCTTGGGAGTCCTCCAACTTTGACATCTTCTGTGTCTATATGCGATGCTGTTTAATTTATCAGGGCATACTAAACTTGGATGATACTTTCTATGTACATGTGCTGGCTTCAATGGCACGTATGCTAAAATTGGGATGATACTCTAGATGTGTTTGTCTGCGTCTATCTCCAGCTGTAGCTGAGACTTTGCAACAGGCGCAGGGATGTTTTCCTGACACCTCTGTCACCAGAAAACGGGCAACCTGAAACTAAAGATTAAACTGGGCAGTAAACCTCCAAATTACCAGTGGCTTGCTAGTAGGGGACGGTCTTGTTTTTTGTGGGTTTGTTTGTCGTGTCGTTTTCATGTCACTGCAGCGTTTGGCTGGGCATTCTCACGGAAGAATTGAGAGATCGGGGAAAAATGTGGGCTACACAAATGTGGAGCCCCTCCACAAGGCTCGTTTTCTGTTTATTGGGAAAGGAGGGCGGG